GGAGGAGAGGCTCCCAAGGTGCAGGGCAATCCTGCCTGCTTCCTTCTTGCCCTCTCCCTAGTTAAAACACTGGTGGCCAGCTCCCCTGCCCCCGAGCCCTCTAAGTCCCAAGGCAAGCCCCGGAGACCTGCCGGTATCATGGGAACGAGTCCCAGGTAGCTGAGGATGAGGAAGAGAGTGCAGGGGGGCTTTGCACAGCGTTGGGGCTGAGGGGAAACAGCTGTGTTGATGGCAAGGGTGATGGTGTGGAGCATGGCCAGCAAAGGCGACGAAGGGGACGGGACTAGGTAACTCCCAGTAGCTGCAGGGGAGAACACCCCAGGGAGGGATGGCACCTGGCAAACAGGCAGGCCCGCCGCAGCTGCCGGGAGGCCTGGGTTGTCCTCCCCTTCCCTGCCTGCTGGCCTCCAAGCTAACTGAATGGATGTGCAGAGAGCCTGGGGCAGCTGGGTGGCCCGGGAGAGGAGCTAGCTGATTTGTTTTGGCAGGCAGCATTTACAGGAAGGCCGGGGCGCAGAAGGGCTTCGTCACAGAAGCAGATCAATTAACTCCATCCAGCTCCCGCGAGCTGGTCTGCGAGTGCCCAGCACTGCAAGAAGGATGCTCCTGAGCCTGGCAGGGCCTCTGGCAGAAAGGCTCGGGGTCAAGTCCATGGACCCACGTCCTGGGCTTACCCAGCACTGGCACTGTGGTGCCTGCCTCAGTTTCCCCTTCCTTGAAATAGGCGATGAGCACCCATCTCCCACCCATGCAGCAGGCTCCGCTGCTGCCTGGGCAAGGCATTTAATAGCTTACATCATGCCGAGACTGAGCATGACTACAAGTAGGGCTGACCCAAGGGCAAATCCAGGCAGCAGCAGCCTCACACGAGTCGGGAGGAGGGAGTCCCTTAACACCCCTTCTCATTTAGCCAGTGAGGGAAGAAACTGCCTGCCCCCTTTTTATTGTGTCTTAGCTGGTCTGAGTTTGCCTTTAATGATCAGCGTCTTTCCCATGCAAGAGGCACGGTCACAGCGGGCTGAGAAAGGGTTTCGCATCACGGGGACGTGGCAGTAGCTACAGCAAGTATCTGGGTAGATGCAATCCTTCAGCTCCTGCCAGCAGTGGGGGCAGGACAGCCTGGAGACTGGGCTGACCCATCCCCAGGGGACAGGACAGAGTAGGGTCTATCACCTACAAGGTCTTCGAAGAGTGGACTCTTCACTATCCTTGACATGAGGTAGAAGGAAGGGCAAAGCCCAGAAATAACCCGGGACTGGAGCCTCGTGCCAGGGCAGAAGTGTGGGCTCAGCATCCGGCTGCAAAGGTCTAGAGGGCATAAACTCCAGTGTGGAAAAATGAAGTGGCAGTGAGGGAAGGCATATGGGCAAATATGCTGGAAATCAGGGAAAGGAAAATAGAAGATGGTCATCAAAAACCAGCCTTGGCATTTGCGCTGCCGAGGCAGTGGCTGATCAGGTGTAATGGTGGTATCCACAGATGAGGAGCTCAGTGGGTAGAAATGACCCTGCTCTGGTCTTGGAGCTCCCTGGTGGCTGGGACTCTGTGAAGGGGAAAATAGAAACAAAATGTCCCTCAGAGGTGCAGGACAGAGCTAGGAAGCGGCCAAAGGAATGGCGAGTGCCTTTGTGGGCTGCTGTTGGGACGGGTAATGGGAGGCAATGGAGATGCTGAGGCAGCAGCAGAAGGTCTGTCCTGAGGAAGACCACCAGGATGTTAAGACAGATGGGATCCTTCCTCACTCACAGCTACTGCAGAGACCCAGCCAGGCTGGATGTTAGGGTCATTTCTCCAGATGCCTGTTGTTTTCATCTCTTTTACAGTCAACAAGGTTTTTCCCAGAAGTTCAGAGAAAGCAGAAGCAAGGAATGCCCTGAAGACAGATGTCCCTTTAAACAGACTTATTTTGTTCCTCTGCAATTAAATGCAAGGACAGTTTAGCAGCGGATGACTGAAGTCCCAGCCTTCCTCAGATATCTGTGCTCTGCAGAGACTGAGTAAGGTGCTGAGGGAGGGAAAGGAGAGGACTTGGCCAGTGGAGCACAGGTTTCCTGGCTGAAGGGCCGTCTGGGTGCTGATGGCATTAAACGGTTCCCAGGTTATGGTTTTTCCATTTCCTTTAAATAACTGAAACATCCAGTAACCTCAGGAATCATCGTTTTCATTATCAGAAATAGTGTTTTCAATACCTTGCCATAAACATCATCTTCTTTTGCCAGATTCATACCATTAATAAAGCAGTATCTCCTTTGTGCCCCAAGTCCATGAGATGTTTCATTACAGACCTTAGCACACCCTACTGTTGCCACCAGTTTCAGCAGCACAGTGCCCACACTGGAAGCCAGATATAAGCTTAGATAGATTTGAATATCACCGTAACGCTGTCTCCTTCCCCATGCCCACTTTTATTGGTTTCAGTTGCAGCTGGAAAAACAGTACTTCCGTGTCTGTCTGGCCTTTGGCACGCGGGCTGCAGCCTTCCAGATTTCTTTCTGCAGGGAAACGCTATTTCACAGTGACCACTAAAAAACACCAAAACCCCACCCCAGCACCAAAGAATTTACGCTCTTTGCTCAAAGAAACCCATGAAGTCAGGTGAGGGCAAAGACTGTGACATCCAAGCCAAGTACTCCGTGTCACAGACACCCCGGCCAAGCGCTCTGAATAATGGTATGATGGCACACCTCGTCTTTTTTTACACCCAGAGGGGGCCAGATCCTCAGCAGATACAGCTTGCTGGGCTGCAACGGAGTCGCACTGACTCACGTATCCCTCCGGGGTTATTTCTAGCATCTTGGGCTTCTCAAGGTCGGCATCCTGGAGCCCCAGCAAGGCACTCGCATGTAAGCATGCGTTGGTGCTAGGGAAGAAGAGAAAAAAAGCAGGACCGGGGAAGTTAGAAACCCTAAAGTAACCTTAACCCCAGCCCAGCGCAGATGCGAGGACCGCTCCAGTGGCAGCGCTTCAGATTCAGTTGGTTTTCATCAGGAGCAAATGCTGCGGCCCAATATTCGTCAGCTCCTTCCCCTCCTCTTTCCCAGCTCCAAGCGGTAATGAATGATGCATCAGCACCTAGTGGCAGGAGATCTTGCTTCAGTCCTTACGAGGTCCGTCTCCAGAGACCGCTGGGGAGAGCCAAGTCCTTCTCAGTACCCATTACGCCATGAGGCAGTAGATCAGAGGAGCTGGGATCTGAGACGAGCCGCGGTACGGATGCTGTGCTGTGGTTTCCCAAAATCAAAGACGGCAAGAAGCCCTGCCGGCTTTTTAAGCCCCACCAGCAGCCCACAGGGTTGCTCGTGGAGTTTTCCTGCCCCTGGAGGCCACCGAAATTTGAGCTGTAATAGCACCCAGGAGAGCTGAGCTCTGCTGCCTGCTTTGTGCCCAGCCCTTACCATGCAGCTCTGGGCATGGCTGTTTACCTTCCCCTCTCACTGTGTGTTGACCTTCCCCGTTTCAAGTGGAAGCTGACCGGCACAAATCCATAGCTATTTATTAACCCCAAGAAGCAGAGAGGCACCCGACCTCTCAGGCAGGCTCTCAGCCCACTTTTCGGGAGAAGCAATGGTTTATGGAGGTGAGTGAAATGCAGAGGTGACAACCCTGTGATGCCGGCGCCGGCGTGGTGGAGGTACGTGGGCTGGAGAGCTCTTGACCAATTCACGGAGCGAATAAACCCAAGGATCCCCTCCAGAGCTCCTTACGTGTAAAAAAAAAATGGAAATGGGTTTATAGACAACCAGCTGTGGGCTGCATGCTAAAAGCTGGGCTGCCTTAAATACAGCCTCATTAGGCTTGTTATCAACAAACCATTTGTCTCCTCCTGCAAGCTGAGGCAGCACTTTGTACCCGCACAGCAAGTTCCCTGCTCCCAAGAACGAGAGGGGCTGAGCCCCAGAGCAGAGAGAGGGGAGGTAGCTGCTTCCCCAGGGTCCAGGAAGGAGCGGGAAGAGAGGCATCAAGGGGAGTGCTTGGAGAGGTAGCTGAAAGCAAAGCCCCAAGGCGAGGAAGGGCAGGAGACAGTGGTCAGAGGGAGGAGAGAAAGAGCTCTCAGGCACCAGCATACTGGAGATGGTGGAGGACAAGGTGAGCAGCAGGGAGGTGACAGTCAAGCAGGAACAGAGGGAAAGGCCACCGCTGCCTTTTGCTGGTGAGAGAGGGGAGAAGGAACGTTTGCATGTTAAACCACAAAAGTGGGTTGTGTTTTGTGGAAGGTAGGCATGGAAGAGGGAAGGAAACGTGTAAGTTGTCAAGCCAGACCAGAGATGAGCTTTGCCTTGTCCAGCGTGGGATTTCCAAAACAGCCACCACACAGCTCTTTGGGGTGCCTGGGGAAAACCCGCAGTGAGCAGATGCAGGATAATTATCCTTAGACACCAGTCACCTCAGTGCAAAGCAGGGCCAAAAATCCCAAAATAATTTTAGGCAAGGTGAGAAGGGTCAAATTGACCATGAGAAAGAGTCTGTGACTAAGGAAACACTACACTTGGGTTTTGAGGGGTTCAGCCTCGTGACCTTGAGGACTTGTCCCCCCTGTGCCTCACCTCTTCAGCTGTGGAAGGAAGCAGCTTCCAGGGCTCCCAGAAGCTCGTGTACCAGCTGCCAGCACATAATGGTGATGGTGGCCACAGGAGCATGAAAATAGGAAAAGCTGAGGCTGGGCTGTGAGAAAGACACTGGCATCTCCTTAAGGACAGAGCAGGGAAGGAGATGAAACGTGTATCTGTTCTCCAGGAGAGCTCCTCCTCCAGATCCCAGCTCCGATGCTGCAGCAGGACATTGAAGGGAGATGTCTGTGAGTGTCTGGGGGTGCAAGGCCAGGTGGGAGGAGGTGAGGCCACCCTGGAGTGATGTGGGAGGCCAGGCTGCGGAAGGTTTGGAAGGAGAAGTGCCTTTTCATTACACTTGTGTGCTGCAGGGGCCCTGGCACTTGTCCGGCGCTTAGAGGCTCCATTGCAATATAAATTATAATGGACAATAAGGGATAATTTGCAAGAGGGTGATCACTGAAGCCATAGGGGGTATGGCGAAATAAGGGAGGGGAGGAAGGGGACCAAGGACTCAGCAGGGACGAAGAATCCAGGCAACCAAGGACAGAGCAGTGGGAGGAGAGCTAGGGAAAAGAATGGGCAGGGAAAGGGTAGGAGGCTGCTGGAGATGGAGAATACGGCAGAGCACCATGTGCCACGGGGGTTGTCAGGAGCAGGCAGGTGGGACCGGCTGGAGGGGGAGTGAGAGGAGGCAGCTGGGTGCCCTTTCGCAGGAGTTGAAGGTGACTATCCGTACCCTCCTTTGGGCCCAAACTGCAGGAATGAGAAGAGATGGGAAGGACAAAAAAGGAGCTGGGAGGAAATGGTGGCACTGGGGAGAGGGCAGCCCTGGGCGCCCCTCACTAGAGATGCTGAGGAACAGCAGACTGGAGCAGGGCCAGAGGGAGAGCCACGGCAAAGCGGAGGGCAGGGGCTGCCAAAGCGCACCGTGGGAAAGAGCTGAAGCGCCGGTCACGAGTGTGAGCTGGTGTTGGGTGGGAAAGGCTGCTGGGAGCGCTGGGAGAGGGCTGGGCACAGAAATTAGGGCGGCAGGGCACCCTGGGGACAGGAGGGGCAGGAAGCGAGAAGTCGGGGAGAGCTCCTGGGGCCAAGAAGAACTGACCCCATGTCCTGGGTTTGGCTGTGAAAGAGTTCATTTTTTTCGCGGAAAGCTGGGAGGAACACCCGCAGGCAGCTGACCCAGCCTGGCCAATGGCTATTCCATACCATGGAACATCATGCTCAGAGTATATATTGGGGGAGCAGCCCGGGGAGGGAGTTCGTTTTGGGGGTCGGGAGCGGGCTGAGCTCCGCCTTGCGCGTGGTGAGCGATTGTAGCGGTCGGTTCGAATTGTTCTCACAGTTGTACCTTCATGCTTCATTACCCTTTTCTTCCCTTTTTCCTGGTATTGCTCTATTAAACTGCCCTTATCCCAACCTACTGGTTTCGCACCTTTCGTCCCGACTTTCTCCTCCCATCCCACTGCGGGGAGGAGTGAGCCAGCAGCGCGGTGGCTCAGCCGCCGGCTGGGCTGAACCCCGCCACCCCACAAAGGCAAATCAGGGGGGGGG